AGTCCCCAGAAGCACAGCACAGAACCAGTCCTGCAGCTCTGTTAGTAGGAGGTAAGTCAAGGCTTCCTTCCTGGCTCGATCCTGCTGGAATCCACTTTCCCAGCCTTACTTCCTACTCTTGACACTTGGTTCAGAGGAGGCCCCTGGGTGCCCCTGTAGCCCCATCCAGGCCTTTGTGCCTGAGGTTCCCTTGCTCTGAGGCTTCACCTATGAGCACTGAAGCCCAGAGGGTCTGTTCTCTTCCTATCACTCATGGATCTGATTTGGCTCATCTGGACCTCCAGGATGATTGACAAGTGATTGAACCCTAAAAGATTTTTTTTTTTACATTATCTACCTAGAGCTGAAAAGATTTTAATAGAATGAAATTGTCCCCTTTATACAATTTGAATTGTGCCTCTGAAGACCCACCGAGGCTGGCCTCTCCTAGGTAGCCCAGAGAATCCTCCACCACGTGGGAGAAGCTGCAAATGGCCCCGGGGAACCTCTGGGCCTCTGCGCCTCCCCTGCACTCAGCTGGTGCTGACCCTTATGCAGGAGGAGATTCCTGCTGTGAGGGTGAGTGACATGGGACAGTGTAATCCCTGGGACCCCAATGTGTACCCTTGAGCTCAAGCCTTAGATGCACCTAATCTACTGAGTGTCCCTCTGTGACCTGTGGACTCCTCGGGGTCCCTGCTGTCTCTGGTTCCATCCAAAGTTGCTCAGGGCATGGGCAACCCTTCCTGAGGCTGGTTCTCTGACCAGTGTCCATCTGTTCCAGGCACTGCAGAGCCTGGTGTCCCTTCCCACAGTGGCCATGACCGACGGACACACCTTCACACACTATAGATGCAAAGAAAGCCAAGGGGTTTCTCCATTCCCTGCTGCCAGCGCACTCACCACAACCTCCAAGAATGTCCACATGACCCCCTCTGTGAACTTGTGACCCCCATGGGAGGCTGAGCTCCTGCCTCTCTGAGGGGAGTGCTCCCTCCAGGGCCATCTATCACTTGGACCACAAGGCATCTACCAGCTTTGTGAGCAACACCGCCTCCAGGTGACTGACTTTCTGGAAGATCCCTCATTCAGGCAGGCTGAGGAGGAGGGTGGCTCAGCCTCCTCTTCTGGTCCCAGAAATGCATGGACAGGCCTGGCATGAGAGAGGAGGGCTGGGCACTGCTACTCTGGCTGAGCTGGGCCTGAGATGGCATCAAACATCCCTCTCCCCATTGCCACAGGGGTGTCCCCCATCTGCTTACCAGAGCTCCAAGTGGCTTCAGGACACTTAGCATCCCTGATCCCATGAAATCTACCTGGTATGGCACCCAGAGAAGGGAGGGCAAAATAAAATGACTTGTTCCTGATTTCCAGTACAAGTGGGGGTACACATGCACTACAGGGTTGGTGGAAGGCTCACAGGAGAGGAGTTGAAAAGCACCCAGGGAGCACTTGCCCAAGGGAAGGACTGCCTCTGTATCCCTAGCGTGCTCCCCATTTATGTTGAGTGTTGTCTTTTGGTGACAGCATTTGTTCCAGCCACTGCCATGCTCTCTTCTGAGTGACGGGGCTGTCATCACATTTCCCAGTGAGATGTCCTGGTGATATCCAGAGGGCAGGAGGCAGGCAGAAGTCATTCTTCCACGGTTGGCAGCACTGGTAGTGGGGTGGACTCAGTCTTGCTCTGCCCTGGCTATGGCAGGTCTAAGGTGGCCACTGAGCTGGGAGCCAGGACACAGCCTGGACAGCACAGAGCTCGGCATCTCCAAGGGCCTCAGGTAGTAAATGGGTGATATCCATACAGGGTATCAGAGGGCCTAGATGGGGCCCCACAGGAGCAGCTCTGAGTACATACCCACTCTGGGTGCCCCTGTAGCACCCAGAGAGTACATACCTTGCCCAAGGTAACAATAAGCCAAGAATAGAAGGAATGGAGGTTTTATCTCTTACTCCACCCCAGAAGGACTTTGCTGCTTCTGCCTTGTATTCCCTGGAACTCAGAGGAAGGACTGTAATCAATTATCAGGACAGTCATGAAGGTGGGTGGCAGGGTGGCAGAGCAGCCCAAGTGGCCAGGTTTTCACCATAGACTTTGGATGGGGATTTGTTTTTGCAAGGGACACGTGGTGTGTGTCTGATCTCCAGTCTTGCTCTGGCACATGAAAAAATTCACAAGACAGAAACCAGGGCAATGAACACTTAATATCATCATAAGAAGAGCATTAAAAGAAACTTCATACTGCACACACACCAGCATGGCAGAAGTAAAAACCAGTGGCAGCATTAAATGCTGGCAAGAATGCAAAAAAACTGGAGTACTCAGCTTGCTGGTGGCCATAGAAAATGGTACAGCCACTTTGCATGACAGCTGGGTAGTTTCTTGAAAAACCACACATGCAATCACCATATGACCCAGTAGTTGCACTCCTTGGTATTTATACCAGAGGAATATAGCATATATTCACACAAAAACCCATCCCTGTGTGTTCACAACAGCTTATTCGTAATACCTCAAACTGAAATCACCCCAGATAGCCTTGTGCAGGTGAGGGGTTGACACACTATGGTGCATCTACCTCCTGGAAGGGAGCTCAGCATACAGAGGCACATACTGTCGGTCCACACTTGGGTGAAGCTCCAGGAAACTATGTTGAGTGAGTGGGGGGAAAAAAAAGCCATTCCCCAAAGATGCAGACTGTTGAACTATAGTTCTGTAACTTACTTGAAATGAAAAAATCTTAGAACTAGGACAAATATCTGGTTACTGGGGGTTAAGGACAGGGGACATGGTGGAGCAGGGAGGTGGCTTGGTCATAAAGGGCTTCTGTAGAGTTGTGAAGTTTTCCATACCCTGACTATGGTGGTTACCTGATCCTGCTCAGGTGATCATATTGTATAGATCATCCCACACAGCACACTCAGACAGGAAACACTGGGGGTACTGGGTAGTTGTGGATAGAATCACTGGAGAACTGGGCAAAGCACACAAGGCATCTCTCTGTTGTTTCTTACAAATACATGTGGACCTACACTTTTGTCAAGAATTCCAGTTTACAAATGAAGAACAGGGTGGGGTAGCTGCAAAGGTTTTCTGACCAGCCTTGACTTTGGAGTGGCTTAATTAATTAATTATGGGTCTGCCCATTAGCAAATGTCCCTTGACCTTTAGCCAAGGAATTTCCTCACTCAGCAAGATAAAGCAGAAGCTAGAGGGAATGATGGGGGCAACTCACAGGAGGCAGGGAAGGCTCCTGGGAGGGGACCAAGCGGGAAGCAAGGTGGGGTGGAGGCTCTGCCTGAGGGAAGACCTGTGGGCACAGTGGGGAGTAGGACAGGCAGTTGCTTGGCAGAGAGTGAGGTTGCCCTGGTTCTGGGACCAAGCCTGTGGTTTGGGGGGTGAGAAGGCCTGAAAGAAGGGGCTGCTGTGCTTGGACTGGGGTGGGTGGGGTTTGGAGGAAGACTTTCTTCTTGGCAAATGCTTAAATTGTGGTAATAACACAGAACATAAAATTGACCTTCTTAGTCATTTTTAAGCTTAAGGTTTAGCCGTGTTAAGTAGATGCATATTGCAGTACAACAATCTCCAGAATTTCATTGTCTTGCAAAACTGAAACTCTGGCCAGGTACAGTGCCTCACACTTGTAATCTCAGCACTTTGGGAGGCCGAGACAAGAGGATTGCTTGAGCCCAGGTGTTCATGACCAGCCTGGGCAAAATAGTGAGACCTCATCTCTACAAAAAAAAAAAAAAATTAGCCAGGCATGGTGTCTCATGTCTGTAGTCTCTGCAATTTAGGTGGCAGAGGTTGAAGGATCGCCTGAGCACAGGAAGTTGAGGCTGTAGTGAGCTGTGATCATGTTGCTGCACTCTAACCTGGGTTACAGAGTGAGATCCCAACTCCAAAAAACAAACAAACAAACAAACCAAAAATACCCCCTGAAACTCTGTACCCATTAAACACCTACTATAACTCTAACCCCACCCCTAACCCTAACTCATTCCTGCTCCCAGCCCCAGGCAGCATCCTTTCTACCTCAGTCTCTACAAATTTGACTACTCTAGGGGCCTCATGGAAGTGTACACGTGCCTATCTGTCCTTTTCTAACTGGCTTAATTTGTTGAGCATAATGTCCACAGGGTTCATCTATGTTGTAGCAGCTGTCAGGGTCTCCTCCCTTCTTCAGACTGCATGATATTCCATCGTATGTATGTATCCCACTTGGTTTATCCACTCTCCGTCGATAGACATTTGGGTTGCTCCTACCTCTTGGCTTCTGTGAATAGTGTTGCCATGAGTATGGGTGTACAGAGATCTGTCCCTGCATTTCATTCCTTTGATAACACACTCAGAAGTTGGACTACTGGACAGAAAGAATAACTGGAACCCAGATGGAGGCTACCACAGCCTCTAAGCTCCTTATCAGAAGCCACGCCTGCAAAATAGTCTCACTCTAGTGCTACCTATGCAAGGGAACAGGGGTCAAGCTCAAGTGCACAAGCCTGCCAGCTGCTCTGGAAGGCCCAGCCCACTGGCTCAGGGCACTGGCTGCTCCCCTGCCTGCCTCCTCCAAGCATGGGTGTCCATATCCACACACACCAAGCAGTTGCCAGGTTAGCTGAGCCGTGCCAATATGGCTCCTTTCCCACATCTCAGGGCTCATGGCATTAGGAGGCCAAACCCAGGCTCTGGCCTAGGCTTGTGTTTCAGGCCCAGCCTCCCTTCAACACCAGAACAGAGCCCAGTTGTACCTCCCAAGAAATACTGAACAAATGGGGGGTGAAGGAGTGACAATAGCCCCCCAACAAGACACTGCGAGCCACACCCTGTCACTTTCCTTCAACCAGCATGACTTCAGGTCACAGGACTGGGGTGGAGTCAAGGTGGCTGCCTGGGAGGTGGGGAGGGAAATGAAGCATTTACAACTAGGGACAAAGTCCTCCCCTGATTTAAACCCAGGCAGCTGATACTGTGGCTAGCACCCAGTATTCCAGCCTTGCCATTCTCCCATTGTCCCAGAGACATGCAGGGGTCCTGGGTGCTGCTGCTGCTGGGCCTGGAGCTCCAGCTTTCACTTGGAGACATCACAGGTAAGGAGGCTCCCAGAGCTGCCCCACACACAGGGCAGCCTCTCCCCTCTAGGCTGACCCGGCCTTCACTCTTCCTTTGTCAGTTGAGGAGGAGAACCCTGCCTTCTGGAACAACAAGGCAGCTGAGGCCCTGGAAGTCGCCAAGAAGCTCCAGCCCATCCAGACGGCCGCCAAGAACCTCATCATCTTCCTGGGGGATGGTTAGTGTGCAAAGCCCGTCCACCTCAGTCAGCCTCACAACCTTGGCACCTGAGACTGCTGGTGGAGACAGGCTAGCTCTGGGTCCAGACTTCACATAGTTCTGCTCCTCCAGGGATGGGAGTGCCCACCGTGACAGCCACTCGAATCCTGAAGGGACAGTTGAGTGGGAAACTGGGGCCTGAGACGCCCCTGGCCATGGACCGCTTTCCATACCTGGCTCTGTCCAAGGTAAGGTCTGGGTTACCTCAGAGTCCTCCAGAGAGAGGGTGGGGATGGGGCTAGAAATTAAGACAGGAGGGAAGGTCCTTGGTTGGGACCTGAGTTAGGAGTCGGGTACAGTTAGGAGCCAGGAAAATAGAATCTAGGGCCAGGGTCTGAACCTGGCTGTTTCCCACAAAGCTGAGCTCAGGGTACCTCTGTCCCCAGACATATAATGTGGACAGACAGGTGCCGGACAGCGCAGCCACAGCCACTGCCTACCTGTGTGGAGTCAAGGCTAACTATCAGACCATTGGCTTGAGCGCAGCTGCTCGTTTGGGTCAGTGCAGCACAACACGTGGCAACGAGGTCAACTCCGTGATGAACCGGGCCAAGAAAGCAGGTGGGCTATGGTCGGCTGCAGGGCCAGGGCCAGACTCAAGACCTCAGTCACCCACTCTGACCTCTCCCACCCTCAGGGAAGTCAGTGGGAGTTGTGACCACCACAAGGGTGCAGCACGCCTCCCCAGCGGGCACATATGCGCACACAGTGGACCGTAACTGGTACTCGGATGCCAACATGCCTGACTTGGCACGCCAAGAGGGCTGCCTGGACATCGCCACACAGCTCATCTCCAACATGGACATCGATGTGCGACACCAGGCCAAGGGCTGGGGCTGGGCAGAGGGGAAGGCCCCACACCGGCCTCAGTCCCAGACTCTCAGCAGCCTGAGCCTAGGGCTGCAGGGTCTGGTGGGGGGGTGGGAGCTGTGGAAGGTACAGCCCAGAGAAGGCCATTCCCACAGCCCTGGGGTTGGGAGCCAGAGTCTGTGAGGAGAGCGCTCATGGCTAACCAGACCCATTAGCCCTGACCCTTTGCTCCCAGGTGATCCTGGGAGGAGGCCGCAAGTACATGTTTCCCACGGGGACCCCAGACCCTGAGTACCCAAGTGACGCCAAGCAGAACGGAACCAGGCTGGACAGGAAGAACCTGGTACAGGAGTGGCTGGCCAAGCACCAGGTGATGAGGGCTCATAGATACAGGGGTACAGCAGGGAGGAGGCCAGGGGTGTGGGTCTCAGGACCATGGGCTGAAGTCTGACTCTGTCCCTGCAGGGTGCCCGCTATGTGTGGAACCGCACGGAGCTCCTTCAGGCATCCCAGGACCCGACTGTGACTCACCTCATGGGTAATAATCCCCTTCCTGCCCTGGCATCCCTCAGACAGCCTCAGACGGGTGCCATCTGAGCACACGTGTGCCATGAGTCCCACCCCACAGCCTGACAGTCACCACCAGCCCTTTGTCCAACAGGCCTCTTTGAGCCTGGAGACACGAAATATGAGATCCAGCGAAACATCACAGAGGACCCCTCCCTAATGGAGATGACAGAGGCAGCCCTGAGCCTGCTGAGCAGAAACCCCCGTGGCTTCTACCTCTTCGTGGAGGGTGCGTCTCTGCCCCTGCAGAGCAGAGGAGGTGGGGGTCCAGGGCAAGTGCAAGCATCACCCTTCCCCTGTCCTTCCTGCAGGGGGCCGGATTGACCATGGTCATCATGATGGCACTGCTCATTGGGCACTGACTGAGGCTGTCATGTTTGACTCCACCATTGACCGGGTGAGCCAGCTCACCAGCGAGAAGGACACATTGACCATTGTCACCGCTGACCACTCCCATGTCTTCTCTTTTGGTGGCTACACCCTGCGAGGGAGCTCCATCTTTGGTAGGCCCGAGGAGAGCAACAGGTTCTGTTTCGTAAATTATATGGCAGATATCTGAGCCTCAGTTTCCTTCTCTGTCAAATGAGTAGAATAGCGTAGTGCATGCCTCATTGGGATGATGTGAGGATTAAATCAGTGAATAGGCAAAATGTGGGACATTTAGCATATACAAGCGTTCCCTCAGCTGTGGTCAGTACCACCTAGAGGACCCCCACCCCCACCACCTTGCAGGGCTGGCTCCCAGCAAAGCCCGGGACGGCAAGGCCTACACGTCCATCCTGTATGGTAATGGCCCGGGCTTCGTGCTCGACAAGGGCCCCAGGCCGGATGTCAACGCCAGTGAGAGTGGTGAGTATGGCTGGGTTGGCTGTTCCGGGAGACCACTGGGCCAGGGGAAAGGAGAATCGAGACAAAGAAACACTATTCATTTGGCTGTGAACCCACCCTCCCTGCAGAGAAACCGGAGTACCAGCAGCAGGCGGCTGTGCCCCTGTCGTCGGAGACGCACGGAGGCGAAGACGTGGCAGTGTTTGCACGCGGCCCCCAGGCACACCTGGTGCACGGCGTGCAGGAGCAGACCTTCGTCGCGCACGTCATGGCCTTTGCCGCCTGCCTGGAGCCCTACACCGCCTGTGGCCTGGCGCCCCCCGGCAGCGCCACCAACGCCACGCCCCCGGGGCAGAACGCGGACGCATGGCTGCGGCTGCTGGCTGCAACCCTGCTGCTGCTGGGGGTGGCTGCTGCGCCCTGATCATCGCAGCCCTGGGCCGACCCCTACCCCAGGGACCTTTTCCCTGAGCCTCCTGCTCTCCACCTCCGCGTTCTCCTGAACCCCACCTCCAGGTCTCCTGTCCCAACCCCAGCCCCACACCTATCTGCCATTCCCGGAGTCGCCACACAAGTGTCCTACCACGGGACATTCACCTCTCTGATATAACCCAGCCTCAGACCACACAGCCCTTGCCTTCCTTGCCTCACTGCCTTTCCAGGGAGCTGGACCCCCAGGGCGTCCTGGGTACTGAGACCATGACACTAATGCTCTCCTGGCTGGGTTGTTCTGGGACTCCCTGCTCTAACTCCAGAGACACAGGGGATTTAGTTGCGAGGCCCCCTGCACCCTAGGGAAGGTGAGGACTCAGACCACCCAGCCTCTGCCTGGTCTATAGCCCTAAGGAAGACCAAGGAGGCATTGTCCCCAAAACCTCTCTTGCCAAACCATGACCCACCCAGACTCTGTGCCACACCATTCTTGGCTTTAGTTTTCATAGCACCTAGGGGACCTGAGGATTCCAACACATCAAGATGCCTAAGGAGATGGCTTCCTGTCACTCTGCAATCACCCTGCCTACCAAGGAGGCTTCTGTGGCAGAGATCCCTAGGGGTCGTGACACAGTCCTCTGCTGCCCCTCATTGTACTGCCTCCATATCCCTGAGCCCCCAGCATTACTATTAACATAGAGGCCACTTGCCCCAAGTCACAGATACTCAGATGCTCTCCTGCTCCCCAAGTCCATTCCAGGAGATCCAAGGAGCAACTGGGGAAGTTGTGGGTGCCGGGCAGGCAGCCCCAGGGCAGCCCTTCCCCACCATCGGGGCCCTGGGCATAGAATTCAATAAAGGTGACTCTCTGCTCTCCCAGGTCCTCCACTGTCCTGGAAGAGATGTAAAAAAGAAGCAGTTGGTGTATTTCATTACAGGAGTAAAGTATTATCCAATGTATTGACATTAATACATTCTAGAAAGAAAACTTGAGTGTGTGTGGGCACCAAGTGTATGTTTCTAGGTGGATAATTCACACCAGGAGGTCAGAGAGGAGCTCCTGAGAAGCAGACAGTTGAGTAGGAGACCTGGACAAAGTGAGGGCTGGAACAATGCAGAAGAGCAGTGCAAAGCCCCTGAGGCGGCGACCAGCTGGTGCTCTTTGAGGCCAGTGGATTGGATCAGAATGGGTGGGTAGGTAAAGGAGATATAACCTGAGGGGGAAGGAAGATGGGGGCGGGGAGATGGGGGAAGAGTCTGAAGTCTGGGTAGAGGGGTGCATGATTGGAGGTCTTTGAGGAGGCCCAGACTGGGAATTGAGCACTCTGCTGTTGCCAGGAGAAAAGTCTAATCCTTTTTCCAGCGGGGGTTGGGGAGGCTGAGGTGGGACTTGGGGAAGGTGCAGACTCCAAGTCTTTCTGATGCACATCTGAAAGCATTCTGGATCACCATCCCGGGATAACTATGCTTACTGAGTTTCTAACCTGCTCCAAGGAGACCACTTAAAGGAATTACATAAAGGGGAAATCAACCTCATTGTTCAGCAAATTTGCAATATTATAAATTTATGTGTTTACTGACACATTTTAGTAGAAATATTTACATGATTGAATTTGCTTCCCTATTTACTAAAATCTTGATTTAACATTGTAACACATCAATTTGAAGGCCTGGCTCTCCAGGCAGTTTACTTCAATTCTGGATTTTCATGACTGCCACAAAGATATGCAAGCTAAGTAGGGACCAAAGGGAGGTCCAAACTTTACCCGTACGATGACCGCTCGTATGCCTAATCCTGAATTGTACCCCACATCTTTAAAAAAAAAAAAAAGATATGGAAGCTGATCAGAAGATGGACATCCTTAGCTAGATATACTTAATCATTATACTTGTTTTAAAATTTTATCCAGCAATGGAAGGAAGACAATGTTAGCCTGGGGGGTGCCATCTTAGAGACCACTGCTATTTTACTAACACAAACCAGGATGGAATACTACCAGCCGAGCACAGACCAGAGTGCTTCCTGCCATGTTTAACACTCAACTTAAACCACAAAACTTCCCCTCAACTTCCTTAATCACAAGCCTTAGTTACCCCCTGGCAATACCAACCACAAAAATTTCCTCCCAAGCCCGTATAAATTGCCCTTAGTCTGTAAGTGGACTAGGCTTCAGTTTTCTGGAGCCCCACCGCAGATTCCCCTCTTTGGAATAAACCTGTGTTGCCATTAAGCCACCCGTCTCCCGTCTCTATTTTCCTATTCGCTCGTTTTCTTAACCTAACAGGAAACTCAGGAGAATTTTTTTCAGTATTTGGTCATAAAGATGACTCATTCTGTGTGATGGGAAAGTTTTTGTGTCTGCTTACCAAGTATCATAAAGATTCGACTCCAATGTGGCAATCTCAGCTTTATGAAATCAACCCCCCTGTCTCCTACAACATTCTGTGTGCCTTCAAGTCTTCTTTCATGCCATGATTAGACTGAGGATGAGTCAATGAATGAGCTGTGTGATCCTACCTCCACACCCTTGTTCTTATACAGAAGCCTTACTTGAAAACATCCTTTCTGAGCTATTCCATCAGTGGCTGCATTTTCCCCTATGACACTGTTTTTATTAAAGAAGGCATTTATACTGTTGACAGTATATCTCTTCTGCTGTATCTTTCCTTTAGTGGCTAAAAAAAAAAAAAAAAAAAAAAAAGAAGTGGTTTGTGTATTTCATTACTGGAACAGAATTCGGCAAATACCTTAAGCTGAGATGAGTTAGGAACATCTGTGCTTTCAGCCCACCGTGTAGCAAACCTCCCACGCTGGGTAATTTCCTCCAACATGCGTTTCTTCCCATCTACAGCAGTGTTTGCTCTACGTCTTCCAACAGTGTTTGCTGACAAAGAAATGCCTTTCGGTTTGTCGACAGATCATTTACTGCTCATTGTTTCTGCCATTTTTACTGCAGCAGAAAGAATAAGTGTCTGCCCAGTGGTAAGTATTTTTTGTCTCACGTTATCATGCAAGAAACTTTAAAAGAGCTTTCCAAATATTTATTATTGCTTAGGGAAATATCAAAAAAGTACAGGGTTGAACTGCACCTAACACTGCTGGGAAAAAATTGTGGAGGTTTCTCTTCAGTTGTGACTGCTGAGTTTCCAACACCTTGCCAAGTACAAGGATATCAAGCTGCTGTTGACTAAAACCTCAAGGCACAAGGCACCTATGGCAACCTTCCCCAGTAAGACAGGGTGGGGTACGTCAAAGAGTTCTTCTTTGCTGATTTTTTTTTAATATATTAGGGAGCTACCTTCTCACGTCTGTATGACAGGTGATATGAGCTTATGCCAGGAGTACAAGTTCTTGGCACAGCCCCTTCTATTGTCTGCCCTCTCTGGTTTATTGGTGACAACAGCAGTTTCTCTACAGGAGTCTTTTGGAAGCCACTTGGACGTTGTGGAGATTGAGTTTGGTTAAAACTAGATCCTATAAATCCATCTGAATCTGTAAATCCACTTAGGCAGACACGAAACTCTAATCCTCCGCAATCCTCTTTAAGTGTGTCACCGGGGAGGGGTCTCCTGTGTCAACCCCTGGCCTGTGACACCCCATTCTCCTCTTCTGGGACATGTGAGAACCACATGAAGAGGGTGCCTGCATAAAGGGCAAAGGCGCCAGCATGGAGCTCCATATTAAATATGAGGAGCGCTCCTTCCTGTCTTAGGTTGCCCACTGTCCAATACCTGTGGCAACGCCTGTGGGAAGCCCAGCACACAGCAGGCACTCAGGAGGGCCTGATGTCATGTCCCTTTATCCAAATCCCCTGAGGCCCAGCTGGGTCCCAATGAGCCTGGTCCCTGGGGCAGAACACTCAGGCTGAGTTACTCTCTGTGACCATGGGCATCTCACTCCCTGCAGAGCACAGACCTGGACAGAGGCCACAGAGGGCACCACAGGTTCAGTCCCCACCAAACCTGGAGTCCTCCTGACCATGGAGCCCCCTGGAGCCCCTGCCTCTGTACAGATTCAGTGACTGGCCCAGGAAGACCCCTTGTCAGTAGAAACGAGCATGTTGTAGCCTCTCAGGAGTACTCACAGGGAATGTCAGCTATGCCCGCCTTCTGACCTTGGTGATGACATTGCATCTGATGTTGCCCTTGGCACCCCCTGGTTCCAGAAGCAGGTCTCTCCACCTGGGTAACATCTTCACAACTGGCCTTTGCCTCTAAAGGAAGCCTCCCTAAACCCCAGCCTCTCAGAGGGGCCTCCAGAGGCCTGCAAGAAGCTATGGCTACCTCTAAGGTGGCCCCAGGGCCTACTGACTCCATGTGAACAGTTTCCATGTTTTCTACCAGTACACATGCCATGCCCCAACACTGACATCTAGTTGGGAGTTCCCCTTGGTAGAGCCTTACCGTCAGAGATACTAGTCTTTGCTGATGTGCCTGGAGGCATCCAGGTCTCCAGTGTCCTGTCCTGGTCCTTTCTTTGCACACCAGATTTGCAAAGTTGTCATTATTAACTAGTATGGCTCCCCCAACCTACCTAAGGCTCCTTAGGTAAAAGGAACATTCTCCCAAAGGAGGTGCCTTCAGACCTCTCCACACAGTTCCCTTACAGCAGCCCCTGCAAGGGTTTGTTTCCATAGGATGGTGGAAGCTTTTTTTGAAAAAAAAAATTATGCAAAATATAGACAAGGAGAGATGCGATTGAACAGCATCATGTGACAGCGTCTTGGGGATTTGAGTTGCCTGCTGGCCCAATGGATCAGCCATGAGCTGCTGCCAGAGGTTCCGTATCCTGGGCAGCAGCTGAGGTCCGGGAAGCCAGGCACCTACCTCATCCCTTCTGACCTGAGGAGCTCATGCTGGCCACTGACCCAGCTTGGGACTGAACCATGTGCCCAGGCAACCCCCTGGGCACCTCGAACCCTGCACCAGGGTGGTGGGAAATGTGGGGAGGAGGAGGAGGTATCCATAGTGATTGACGGGGTTGGTTTATTT